AGAGCCCCGCCTCACTCCAGACTCCACCTCTTGCGGCGATGCTTAGCCCTCGTCGGGGGAGCTCCTCCCCTTCGCATGAGACTACGCCCCTCCCCACGCTCCGCCCCCTGCCCTGAGGCCCCGCCCCATTGTCCCCGCCCCTAGGAGAGCCCCGCCTCACTCCAGACTCCACCTCTTGCGGCGATGCTTAGCCCTCGTCGGGGGAGCTCCTCCCCTTCGCATGAGACTACGCCCCTCCCCTGGCACCGCCCTCTGACCAGGGAAGCCCCGCCCTCCACTCCGTCTGAGGGACTCCCTTGCCCCTCCTCGCCGGCTCAGGACTCCCCCGTAGTCTACGTGACCCCTCCCCCATTTCAGACTCCCCAGACTCCGCCTCCATTTCCGGGGACTCCGGAGTTCTCCCGGATACCCGGGCGCCCCCTCCCCACCGTAGGTCAGGGCCCTCACAGGGCGCTGGAGGACCCTTCCCCAGCCTTAGGCCGGGGGACTCCCCACCCCCAGCTCCGACACCCCATCTTCCATCTGGGGACGCCACGCAATTAGAGGAGAGGAGGAAAATGCTAAAGGCAAAGGGGGTGTGCGGCAGCGGTGGAGGCCGGGGAAAGCAGCTGCAGTTGAACAGAGTCGCAGACCTGTCTTCCAGCCCAGCTCGGGCACCCCCCTCCCCTTAGTCCCCCCCGCCCCGCCAGGATGCACACACCACCCGATGTGCTGCAAAGGAAAGAGACCTTTGCGGGAGCACAGCCCTTTCTGGGCCTGGGGCCCAGATCTACCAGTCTACGTTAGGCGCTGTGCGCTGTGCGCTGTGCTTTGAGCAAATTAAACCCTTTACTTTAATCCTGGAAGGCAGGCACGATAGTTGCCCATTTTACAGATGAGGAAATAGATTTACAAAAGTGACTTACTTGTAGTTTGCTAGAAACGGGCCAAGAGAGAATCTCAGCTGTATGAGTGGCTTCCGTACCTTACCCTTCTGATTAGGAATGGAGCCTCACAGGTGCAGAAAAGAAACCTTATCTGCATCAGGTAAGGTCCCTATTGCTCGGTACTGTTGGTCTGGAACTATAACTAAAGGCTGGATTATAGTTCCAGACCAAGTCTGTGGTCTTGTGGGTGGCGGTGGGGGTGTTTTATGAGAAAATCAAGGAAGACTGCATAGAGGAGGTGGCTTTTGACTTCCATCATGAAGGATTCCGGGAGTTTGCCTAAACATTCCCGAGAGGGAGCCGCTGCCACCCCCACCCCCACAAACTTGTTGCACCTGAAGCTCCCAATCTACCAGAGTCCCCTGGGGCCCTACCACATCCACCCTGCTAACTCCTCCACCTAAAAATAACCAAAGATACCAACTGCTTTGCCAACTGTTCTGGGGCCCAGCGGCTAGATGAAACAAGAATGCAGCCGACGGCACATCCTTTAGGGGAAACGATACTCGTTAGTCACAGAGAATTTCCCTGCGAGACTCCCACCAAGCAGACTGCAGGTCACACAACCCTGTGACACAGGATAGCTGCCCTCACTGATGCCTCCAGAGGCCTCCATTGTGCTGGGTTTGCCCGGGGACCCTGGGACAGCCTCACTCCCTTGTGTACCCCAGCTTTTAATGCATTGCCTGCCAGAGCAGGTCCTCAGTGAACATATACTGAATCCCTGTTATAATCCCCAGTTTACACACCAGGAAGCCGAGGCTCAGGCAGGAGAAGAAACTTGCCCCAGGTCACAAGCCAGGCTGATGCGGAGCTGATGCTTCGCAGGATCCCCAGTGCTTCCACCTGACACTGGACTGCATGGAGGAAGGTGGGAGAAGGATCACCAAGACTCAGAGGAGGCAAGGATTTCTCCTGGGGCAGTACTGGGATTGGAGCTGCATGGCAGCACAGCCAGACCACTGGGCCTCAGGGATCCTGGGGCGGGCCTGATTCCAGGATTGCTCAAGTAAGGGAGAGTAAGGGAGAGTTAGGACATCAACAGCAGATGCCTAAGTTCCAACCTTGGCTTTTGGCTCTAAATCCAGTGCTCTGCTCCAAGAACTCTAGCTTCTTAATCTCTCTAAGCTTCAGTTTCCTTATGTGTAAAATGGGAATAATAATTACACCTGCTTGTGGTGAAATAGGATTTTGCAGTATTGTTTTGAAATTCCTTTGTCAGCCCTCCCTTTTCTCTCTTCAATCTAGATCTTGTCCCTGTTGCTTCAAAGAAAGGGACAAAGAAAGGAATAAAATAGAAACTTTATTTCTTTAATTCTTGGGTTCAAATGCCTGAAGGTGAGAGGTTTGGAATAGTTTGGAAAAGTAGTTATATATCTAGTTGAGAAAACATGCAGAAAAAGCAAAACAGGCTGGGCGCAGTGGCTCACCCTGATGCTTTGGGAGGCCAAGGCAGGAGGATCGCTTGAGGCTAGGAGTTTGAGACCAGCCTGGGCAAAATAGTGAGACCCTGTCTCTACAAAATTAAAAAATTAGCTGGGCATGGTGGTGCCTGCCTGTAGTCCCAGCTACTCAAGAGGTTAAGGCAGAAGAATCGCTTGAGCCCAGGACATTGAGACTGCAGTGAGATATGATCCCACCACTGCACTGCAGCCTGGGCAACAGAATGAAATCCTGTCTCTAAAAAAAATTAAGAAGAAAAGAAAACAAACAAAAAACAACAGTGGCAAATCCTTTCTGGGCTGGGAGATTTGGAGAGGAGAAGGAAGAGCTGGAAGATGCTGGGTTCTGCCCTTGAGGCCATGCCAGAGTGGGAGGGTAGGGTTGGGAAAAGACAGATCCCTCACATAGATTTGGGGATCCAGAGCAGAGGCAACCTGGGCTTCAGTTCTCAGGCTCTAGCTTTAGAGGAAAGCCCTTGAAGCAGGGTTGACTACAGCAGTGTGGGGTTTGTGCTATGTCTAGGAGGGCTGGTCTGCGGAGTCTTAGATGCGTGAGTGGCATGGGAAAGCCTTGAGATTTCTGTGCCCCAAAATTGCAAAGCTGAGAGAGGCTGGAGTGTCCCGTGGGTTGGTGGATCGGGGTACCTAGATTGACAACTGGAGGCCAGTAAGTTACAGGTATCTCAGCAGAAGCTAGCAAGGAAGATAGCCAAGCTCCAGCGGCACTGGGCCATAGGCCCCTGGCTCTTCCCAGTGCCATGACACTGGGGAGATCCTCCTGGATCTGAGAAGCCATTTCAAGTAGAGGAGGAGGAGGTGGAAGAGTCAAAAGGACTGCATTTATATCGAAATGACTGAGAAAAGCTGAAACTTACTTTGACGACACTGTCTCCCAACAGGTGCAATGGGAACTGGAAAGAGAGATGATGTTTAGTTTAGAATGGGTGAGCAAACTACAGCCCGCTAGCCTGCTGCCTGTTTTGTAATAACCTTGTATGGAGCATAGCCACACCCACTAGATTATGTACTGTGTGTGACTGTTTTCATGCTACAATGGCAGAGTTGAGTTGTGGTGAGAGCGACTATATAGCTCTCAAAGCCTAAAATATTTACCATCTGGCTCCTTACCAAAAAAAGTTAGCTTAATAAGCTGGAGAATCCCCGCAGGAGGAGGTACACACATGTACCCAGCAGGTGAGTGCTGCTTTGGTGAAAGGCTAACATTTCTTTGCATAGAGACTTCCCTGTGGGATGCTTGAATGTATTCATGGCATGATAGCTGGGTCCTTCAGAGTGAGTGATA